CAGACAAAGGAAATTCTTATACAACAGGAATGCCTTGCTTCAATAACATTCTTAAACTTGAATGCTTACTAATATCATGTTTACCTGCTACATACTGTGGACGATGAAGCACTAAGTTCACCTAAGAAACCAAAATATCCAAAGCATGACAATAACAAAATAATGCAAATAATGACTTCTGCATAGTACAAAAACTACATCCTGATGACAGCCTGAGTGTAGGTCAGTACCAGCGATGTATAAGTCAAGTATAATCATAGACAGTTTTACAAGAAAATTAATCACTCCATGATTGTACTCCATAGGTTCTCCAACAGAAGTGTTTAAGTATGATTTTAATTACCCAGTTTTCCTCCTTGACCTTAAAGGTTTGCTCTAACATCAAGGACCTGTCACTTGAGAGATGAACAACTTTGTATTGTGTTGCAGTAGAAGAATTATTCTTTACTTGACAGGCTAATAGTATAAGTATCTTTGGAATCTTGACGTTAATCATGTTCTTTTATAAAGAAACATCTATTCAGTCCAAATTTAGAAGTGATGATTTAAAGGTCATGAAACTGTGTCTTTTTTTATTTAAACATGCATTCAAACCGCTTCACAATTTTAAACTAGTGTTCAATCGTTATTGAAGATAGATGGTAGGGATGATCAGGATGATAACTCTAATAATTCAGTTGATGAATCAGGTTGGTCAGAAATCTATTATTACTCTGTGCCTTTCTCATCTATAACCAGTGGCTGAACCCCGCTAGCAGTCATTTCCCATCTCACAGACTGTCTGGATGACTGATCAGGGTTGTGATTGTCTACCCTCTCCCCAACACACCACCACCACATACGTCAGCAGCTGCACATACATCTTGAGCAGTCTCTAACTCCAAGCCAGAGCAGTATAGAGCCCCAGTAAACGTTGCAATCAGTGCCAGAATTGGGCCAATTCCTCATAACCTTGTCTGCACATGGCACCTTGCCTTGAATCATAAGAGTGCGAGGCTGTAGCAAGTGTTCAATCTGTCAGCAAAGCAGCTATATTACCCCAAGTACAGTTGAAGAGGGTAAATCGACATTTAATTATCTGTGTCTGCCCACAGAAGCTACATGGGCATTGTAGACCTGATGTAATGGAGTTGCCACAAACCCTGTCATGGCAGCAATATGTACAACCAGCAGCTATATGACATTGCAGCTTGTTTCATAAAGTATGTGCTATTCTGTGCTATGCCTGACAGCGGACAGGTATTTTGAATTTTTTTAATTCTATGAGGACACAGGGCGTTAACAAAAGAAAGAAATATTAAAAAGAAGTCTCAGGTGTACTTTATTCCACTCACAATGAAAATATGGAATTTTTTTTTGTCCAAACATCAAGCTTCTATGCCTTTAAACCTATTTTTGATTTGTCACTTTCTTTTCTTCCGAGAGATCAGTACGACTCCCTCATAGTTTGAAAAGTTGACTCTGTGGCCTTTTGCTGAAACAATCATCTTTTCTTTTAACAAAGCTAAAGCTTTGCCATAAAAAAGTGAATCCCATCAAAAAGACCTGAAAAAAGCCATCTAATTTATAACCACAGACTTAGACTTAGAGATGAGTTCCTATTGACCCATTGTTGAGGGGAGATGTTCGATCTTGAGCATTATGTTCAGTCTGGTGGCAGAGTTCTTTATGTATCTCTTGAAGAGAAAAGCAAAATCAATGTTGAAAATGTTTCACATGATTCATTTTTAAGGCTCAATCGAAGTGCAGCAATTTTTCCAAATAATTATGAACAATCTAACATCTTGGATTGCACATCTTCTCCAGCCAATCATAGGTGTATAAGCAAGCAGTGAAAGGCACCGTGTGGAAATTGATTGTCCTCTTTCTCCTCTCTCACAATCTTCAAAAAATAAACAAAGTGTGCTGATCAATTCCGTCAACTAAGTACACCTCTTGTCAATGTCTCCAGCTTCACAATGGAGACTTGATGTTTCTGGAGCCATTAGTTATGACCAACTTGCCAGACGAGGCATTGATCGCTAGCCGGTTGTAAATGCAACAGTAATCATTTCACAGGGAAAAGAATAGAGCTGACTGTGCTGTCGTGTATGGATGTGTGACCTGCTTAAAAAGTGTCAGCTTAAATGACTTTTTAATTTACTCAAAGTAGAGACTTGACTGAGTTATTTCAACAGTCGTTTGATGTTGTTTTAATAGACCTCTGTGTCCTTCAGTGCCACTTTTATACTTCTGAGTTTCTTATTGCTTCAATGTAGTCTTACGCAGCCACATCAGTATCATATAAAGAAGAACATTTTATAATCTTTACCAAAATACTACAATTTTTGAGATCAATAGGAAGTCTGTTCAAACACATAGGAGCCTCTAGGAAGTATGAAGGGTGCATCATGACTGCAGGATAAAGTGAAGCTGCAGTTGTTTTTCTGAACAGAATTTTGATAAATGTGCTGCTGGTGACAGATTATCAGTTTCAAATGATGTATTAATTAAGTATATGGAATGCCATTTAAGTCATTACTAAATTAATAAAAATAAATAGTAAGTATGCCTATGAAATAAATAAATATGGTTGTGAAAGTAAATTAATCAATAACTATATAAATACATGTAAATACAAGTGAGTCAATATAGTTCAATAAATAAAAAGTTTTTATTTAAGAAAAATTGTTTTTTCCTAATGCCACATTTGTTTCCCAGCAGCATGATCGAACACAGCCTTCAAGATTGACGGAGGTTTGACGACAGCTATACAGCCCAAAGGTGGTTTTCCTGCTGGGTTGTGCTCCTGGCACCCCTGGCATCCTGTTCTGCCCCAACTCTCTGTGATTTACAACGTTTCCTAATAGACAGTTAGTTGTATTTTTTTTTGGTTTTTTTGTTGTAGGCCAAAAGTGATTCTGATTCAGTCTCCAACTGTAACAGTTTTAACATTTCGTCAACTGCAATCATATGTTCCGTCTTTGCCAAATTCTCCTCTAAACTTGTCAAATAGTTTTTTATTTAAATAATTGTCTGAGGCTTGAAGAGATCAAATTATTCAACAACAGAAAATAAATAAATATTTTTTTTTTATCTTAAATATGTGTAGTAATGTAATGTAATGTAATATTAGTTTTTTCTTCTTTCCTCTCCCATTAATCATCTCATGAACCTTCAGATTTATCTTGTGAGGCTTTGGGCTGATCCCTAAGTTGTGAACCACCGGACTATACTTAGCTGTATATAAAGAGGTGAAAAACTAGCTCCATCTCAACCAGCTACAACAGAAAAGTATTACTTACAAATTTTTGTAGTCTAGTTGTAATAGTCTATCATGTAATAAGAATGAGTACTAAACAGAATGAGCACTTTTACTGTTCATACTACTTCACGTGCATTTTGCTGATTTCTGTAATTAAAAGTAAGTGATCTCAATACTTTGTCCAACACTGATGTAAGACTGTGTGTACAACATAACATGTTGACATGACACCAACCGTGCTCTGGTCCCTTTTAATAATACTCCTGGCTCCACTTCCTCCCACTGCCAAAGTGCATTTCTACCTTTTCTTGTAATGGCATGAGGCATCGTAACATACGTCACTTCTTACAGTGACGAGTGAACGGGAGACACAACTGATGACTACATGAAGACTGAATGCCAACCCCTGTAAGAAACACAACAATTAACAACAATTAAAATCCAGTTTGCTTCAACAGCTATTCAGAACGTGTACATTTAACTGAGATACTACATCTTGTGCTTCACATTTCCTCTCTTTGAGTCACAGTGAGGGAACTCTCGTGCTCCAGGGCCTGACTCCTACCAGTTATCAGCCTAGGTGATTGAGAGCACAGACCGCCATCTCTCTATAGAGGGCACCCACAGACCCAGAATGTCTTGTTTGCTAGAGCTGTGTACATTTTGTATTTGAAAGAGCAGCAAGTCAATGAATCTCTATAATGCGAGAGCCGGGCCACATAACTCACGTTGATAGTCCTTACATTGTGCCAAGAGGCGATAAATCTGCTCTTGGAGACATGAATATGCAGTGGCAGTCAGTCTGGCTTGTTCTTGCTTGCATGCCCCTCGATGCACAGTTTATTCCTCTCCCCCATTCCAAACAGAAAAATAAAACCAATGAGCCGCAGCACTATCTCATCAACAGTGTTCTATTAAGCAGAAAGAAATGTAGCAGTGCATTTTTCAGAATATACTTAAAAACTGCAAATCATTAATGTAAAAAAATTACAATTTGTGGTGTTGCTTTATTATGAAAATATAATCATGAACATCTACTATTATCTTTATTATTTATGTGAAATGGGTTTATATTTTTCTATCTATCTATCTATCTATCTATCTATCTATCTATCTATCTATCTATCTATCTATCTATCTATCTAAAATATTACTAGATCTAATAAGAGTGAATCCCAGAGGCTTGAGCTTTCATCTTTCCAAATTTCAGCCTTTTGATGATGCTAGAAATTTCATCTGTTTTAGGCAAAATGCTTAATACACTTACTGAAATCTGTAACATAAACGGGTAATTCGATACTTTCAGCCCTCCTCTACTGCAGTAGGGAGAGAGACATGAGCAGCACTTTTTCTGTGTGTTTGTATATGTAACCTGCAGCTTGTATTTGACGGCTCTTTGTAAGGAATGAAAAATGGACAGCAAGATAGGCACCAAGCAGTTACGGGGGTTTAATGTACTCATTGACACAGACAGAATGTCTAAAATAACAGCGATAAGAAGCCTGCTTTGTCAATGGCCCAGTCCTCTGCTGACACTTATTTTCTTCATACAAATAGATCATCCCATTCACAATACTGTAGGCAGCCGGGGGTTTTCCATTTTTCCTGCTTGAGGTAGAAAAAAATTTCCATCTCAGTGCAGTAAAAGGGATTGCAATGTGGATCTCTTAACATTCCTGAGAACACACACACACACACACACACACACACACACACACACACACACAAAAAAAAAAAAACATCTCATGATATAAACTGTGATTACATTAACGGATAACATAATGCACGTGTATGCAATAACTGCAAAAGTAGAAAACCGGGTCATTATTCGGATCCCTCTCACCTCCATAAAATACTTCTTGGACATAGTTGACAAGTATGCGTAACGACGCGTGCCTCTAGTGGCACCGTGGAAGGAGGGTCGTCAGACGCACGCAGAAGCTCGCCTTTCTGTACTACCTTTCCATCCAGCACAAACGGGAAGATTTTTTTAAATGAACACTGTGTAACAAAGAGCCCCTTTTGAACAGATTTGGACGTCCTTCAATCACCAGCCTCGTGCCATCGCCGTGCGCAACTGGAGAGGAGCGTCTCTGAGCGGCTTTTTCCACCTTCACAAAGTATCTCTGTGTTATTTGAACAGTTTTCATGAGCGGAATGAGGGACTGGAGTGATTAAACTGCAATAAGAATTGACTGAACGTCTGGAGTGCGTTCACATTCCTCAGCACTCATCGTAAACGCTTTTCTCTGTTTGTCTTTTTCGGGCGACAGATTCGTTCGAGGCGACCCAAAGTTCCGCAGGCGCAGTTCTCCTCCTCCACAGCGGTGCGGGCATCAGGCTCGGCTGTTGCCGTGGTACTTGCCAGTAGACAGATAGCATCGGCGGTAGGAGGGGATACAGAGACTCCTGCAGGCTAATTGTAGCAGCCTGCGTTCGCAGGTGTATCACTGATCCGCCTGTGAGGGACTGGGGGGCTTCATCCTGATCGAGCCGCTCTCAGACTTGTGAGTAACAGAAAAAAAACCCCGAGAGAATGTTGCACCAAGTACAATGAGCGCAAATTTGTCGCAGACACCAAAATCCATATATGCTCCGTCGAATTCAGTTTTGATGAGCAATTCTGAGTCGTCTTTGGAATTTTAAAAAGTGGATCCCGCGACTTTACAACCATGCGAAATACTTGGCTGTCTTCCCGGAGTGCGATTTGGGAATACTGGACACCGCTGATTGCATGTCTCTTTTGGATTCAGTACTCTTACGGGATGCCTCATGTTATTCGAATAGGTAAGTTGTCCACATTCACATTTACACACACACACGTTTGTATTATAACCTTGAAAGTTGCTCCTTATTCAGCTCATTTCAGTGTGGGTCATCATCTGTACGTTCACAGCGACAGCGGTTAGTTTTTGGAGTAAATGAGCAGTCCCTTTTATTTTCGCCTTATTCGGATCTTGTGTGAATTCTCATTTTACTTAAGCGAGGGGCAACCAGTAAGCAACAAGGGAGCAGTGCATTACTGCAGACAATTACCCATAAAATTGAGGATGCCTTTTCCACTCAGAGACCATGCAATGAAATATTGTGGGTTAGTGTGACCTCTATGCACTCTGCTTTGTCTGTTCCATTTTCTGCAGCCAGCATGTTGAGTCACCAGCTAAATTCAGGCTCATTGCCATGCCTTCTGGAAGTAAGTTTGAGCTTTTGAGGACAGTGTGTTAAATTAAAAGCTAGACTATCAAATTAAGAAACAAACCATCAGGAAGTTTCTAACAGTATTACACCTTATCTAGTGGAGATGAGAAAAGTTTTATCTAATCTTATCTTATCACGGCATACAAACCAAGTTCAATCACAGCATACACAAACTGTCTTATTCTGATCAAAGTTGCCTCCCTCCTGATCTATCACATAGCCTGTGTCAAACCCAAAAAGAAGAAGCAGCGTTTGTGCTGCTGGCGTTGTCTTTTTCCAATTTCTCACCCAGGAACAATGTGAGAATTGTCATTCGGAGGCTGGCGATGCGATGAAACATTTTGCGCCGCCAAGAGACAGGAACAGAATGAAGATCAATACGGTTTTTGTCACGAGGCAAATCGTTTTTGACATTTGGCGGAGTGCCATGCAGGACAATTACTCAAAATGGCATTGCCCCACATTAACATACCACTACAACAGCCGGAGTAGGCAGGGAGTGAGAGCATCTTAATGGTATGGACCTTTTTGTCTTCAAGGTATAAATAATGGGTGAAAGTGGATTAATGTTACAAAAGTGTATATTCTATATTCTCCAGTGCTCTAAAAGAGGTTAATGGCCTTTCCAAATCAGTTCTCTCCTCTATGGCATATGTGCAAATCACCAACATCCCACTCTGATTTTGCAATACATAATTCCTGTCAAGCAGTGGGCGATCATTGAAAAGCTATATTTATTCAAATGAAAGTTATTAGACTTTAACAGGATGGAGCAGAGAGTTCTATAACCGTGAATGAATGCTGTCAAACCTTCTGTAGGTTTAATATAAATTCTAAATGAGACATTCAACCGAAACACAGAATAAGTCTGCGACTGTAGGACAATGTTCAGTGCATATGCAGCTGTCCGGCAGGCCCAGGTTGTTCCTCTGACTGACTGCTGCACTCTGAAGAGCCATGACTTCTCTGACATTGCTGTGTGTGGACTTTAGTGATGTCTTAGAAACTGCATAAATCCTTAAAGCCCTCTTTCTACTGATCTGAACTGAAATTGTTTGGTCAAAGGGACATTTTTTTCTGTGGCAGTAGCTCAAATGAAGACCTGAAATAGACTTGACAGGCTTTGTTTTTAAAAAATGTCAAAGTGCTGAGACAAATTTACCTTGAAATGTGCTACAGTAGCACTATTGCTTTTTATAGAATATATCATTGCTTGGGTGCTGGAGCAGTTTTTTGTGTGTGTGTGTGTGTGTGTGTCCCTGAGATTGTATTTTGACAAGCTGAGAAGAGGGACATGCAAGAGGACGTTGCTGAATTTGCCTCAATGCCAAAAGAAAAAAAATAAATAACAAGGCTTCATATGATCTTTTGAAGCTGACTGTTTATGTACAGCAGCCATGTGTGTATCCATTTTTTTGTCCACTTACATAATGGACCTGTGTGAAAATAACAAGAAAGCCGTAATAATATTCTATATAATTGCATTTACAAAAATTGGATCTATCTATTTTAAGTGTGAGTGTGCATAAAATAGGCGATATGTGTGTATGTGTATTATTGCAGTCGTACTGTAGTATTCTTTGTGAGAGGACCTTAGTATTCACAGTCTGTTGATTCGTTTAGGGATGAGCGCTTTTTTGAGTGGGTGTGTAGTGGACATTTTTGCCTCCCCCTGTTTTGTAATTTGGTACTTGGTGTGCAAGTGTGTGTGCTCGGTGTCACAGCCACCCTGCTAAAAAACCAACAGAGGGCCCTCTTATAGTCCGTGTACGGTGGCCAACGCCGTTTCTCAGCACTGGTTACCAACACAAACAAACCAGTGAGAATCCTCGAGGTGGGCGGTGGTATTTGTGCACGGCGCTCTCTGTCTGTGCTGTGTCTGCTCTTGGTTAGGTGGCCTGTGCAGTTCTCCAAGTACACCATCTGGGTAATGGTGGGCATCCAAGGTAGAGTTGTTGCCATTGATTTTAGTGCTTTTACAGTGCATTGCTCTAAGTTGAGGCCAGATGGTAGCTCCGTCTCATTCTGCAGCTTCTATTTGTTGGAGGGAATAAAAGACTACTCCTCCTGTATTTGTCCTCTTACCCGCTGTGCTTCACTTTAGTCTCCCTCTGCCTGCCTTTCGTAATTTTTTTTTTCTTCCTGACATGTTTTGCAACCTCTCATCTCATCTAGGAGCCATTTTGGTTGATAATGCTGTGTTGTTATAATAAAGATGAAAGTGCTGGAGGATGTGAATGTGATTTTTTTCTCAGAACATAGCATGTGTCAGTCCATAATTCGTGTGTTTGCCAACATGGAAGTCAGAGGCATACTGAAGCAGTGCACTGGTCATTTCCTTGAATATGTTAGTTGCTTTTTGTGTTTTGTTCTGTAACCCCCGTGAGCAGAATTCTATCTGCACAATCAATTAATTAATCTCCCTACATACATTGCTTTCTTCTCCATCAGTTAGGAATTGGCCAGTTTGGAAAGAAAAAGAAAATGTACTTGTACATGTATATTATAAATCTATTGTTAAAGCATACAGTAATAACAGATTATTAAGCATTTTCTCTGTCATCTGTGGACTGATGAAACTAATTCATCATTTGTTGTCTCTTTTCTCTCTCAGTGAGGTTATTCACTGCCTGACAGGGATTTATTGAATAATCAATTACTTTATCTACCTAATACTTAAAGCACTTAATCATTGCCAGTTAATCAATCTCCCTCATGATTTCATGTTGATTTCATTTCCTTAGCTCCTCGCTGTGCCCCTACAACACCTGGTCACATGCACTTTTCATTTAGCTTCCCCTAAAATGCTTTGGGCAACCATGTCTGCAGACTTAATTATTGTGTGTGAAACAGCCTGAACATTTAAAACGTAAGCTGACAAATGTGCAGCACTTGAAGCTGCATGCAGTGTGACCACTCATAAGCCTCAGTGGGATAAATCGGGTGTGTGGTCACCACTTTTGGTTGAAGTCTGCAAACACAGAGCCACTTCAGAGGCTTGTCTTTATCCCCACACCAGCAGCAGAAGAAGAAAAGTTTTCATGCGATTAACTCTTCCAGAGAGCTACAGAGAGTGCATTCTCCCTGAGATCCTCCTCGCCGGAGTTTGTGCAAATGTTTCGTCTGAAATGACTCAGACATATTTCAAGAGACTGCGAAAAGCTGTAATGGTACTTTGTAATTCTACTTTTAACAAAGTCAAACCCAAAGGGATGCTTGTTTTGAGAATTACCCTCAGGAGGATTATGGTTGGCAAAGAGATTGAAGTGGAGGACATTTAAAAAAAAAAGTGTTGAAAAAGAACAATGAGGAGAGATGTTGCATCAAAAGTTGCATCAAATTAAGATGGCCATCAGTTCCTGAGTGCAAATGAATATTTCATTTTCATCTAAATTTAATCTCTCCCCAGACAGAGAGAGTAAGCGGGGAGAAGCCTGCTGGTGGAGGCTTGGGGCCGGGGAGTTGTCGTAGTGAATATGAACAAAGGCTGGTAGAGGTCACAAAAGAATTGGATACAGGGAGAATCTTCTTTGATGTGTAATTCCATTATCTGTTAGCAAAAGCAGAGATTGAAGGGGGGAAGAATACAGCGGTTGGTTTACCTGTGCTAACACACTCCCCTTCATCCAGTTGTATAAACACGGACGAATAAATGAACAGCAAAAGAAATAGCAGAGGTCTATTTTCTGACTCTCCCACTCTTGGGCATCTGTATCTTAGCTTCCGCACACACACACACATACACACAGACACACAGTATGTAAAGCCATATTCCATCCACAACATTTTCCAAAACATATGTCTGGTCTCACTGGGCCTCTTGTACACAATCCAATTCCATTCTCTCTGTCAGCACACTCGCGGCTCGTCATTAGCTTCAATCTCGCTGATGAGAAACGGCAGATGTTCGTTTTGTTGAGCAGAGGGGCCCGTCTCTGAACGTGCTGTCTTCTGTACTCGCCTGTGATCCTGTTTAGACGCATTAGAAAGGAACATTCTACTTCTACAAACAAATATGTGCTCCAGGCGCATTATAGTCTGTCTTTTCTGAAGCGCGGAGCCTGTTTTTAAGTTAAGTCAGTAAAAGCCAGTCAACACGTATTAAACGCACTGTGTGAGTCCAAGTCAAAGTGTATTAAATACACAGTTTGTTTATGCCTCAGACAAGGTGTAATAAATGTGTAATGCTCTGAAATGTGCTCATAATGTGTCTGATCAGTAACACTAACAAGACTTAACTGCGTCAAGGAAGTGCAGGTACTTAACTCCTTGTTCAGTCACACATAATAATGATCATCCAATAATCCAAGCCACTAGGGGCTAATAGAGCGGATCTACCAACCAGTAAGATAATCCTGTGACACAGCAGGGTCCTATCTAGCCCCAGCTAGCTTAGCCTAGCCGCTGCTAACACACCAGATGGTGTTTTCATATCGTACTACAAAGTGGGTGCTCCGCAGTGAAAGGTCTGCTGTAAGCATATGCTTCTGATGCCTATTGAAATAAATAAGGTGCTGAGTTCCTTATGGCTATAAATGTCATCTTTCTCATTCAAAAAAAGCCTAAATCACTTTACTGTTATCTAGATG